CGTAATATCATCCATGTCACGAGTAAGTTCAGAGGAGGACCCAAATGCAGACCAACATACAGTTTGAGTCTTTAACAAAAGATCAAAAACATCCGATACAGGCAGGCAACTCAAAATCCAAATGAAAGCAGAACAAAAACTAAACGCAGGTGAGCGAGCGTCTGGCCCCACCCATAGATGCCTATAAATGGCCAGTGAAACGCCCTGAATTAATATTCATTAACAAGAAACAGTACGAAGAAGAGCACGGCAAATGTAGCATTAAACAGTAAAAAACGAAACTTGACACAATGTGAAGTTGAAGTTCTTGTTGGGGAGGTTGATAACAGAGACAATGTTGTTTGGGGGACTTGGTATGGGCATTACTAAGGCTAAAACTGCAGCGGAGTGGCAGCTGGTGGCAGATGCTGTAAATGCTGCCACCTCAGACTGTTTCAGAAGTCAAGAAGAAGTGGTCTGAGACAGAAAACCGAGGGATGTTTCCAGCTGACTGTCACAGTTTTAGTGACGGTAAGAATTAAGAACTCTAAATGAGATATACAGTTGCCATAGCTGTTTGGCTCAAATGCCTTGGGACAGAGGTCAGGGTAGGGGCATTAAGTGGTAGTGGCACGTTTTTCAGCTGTGCCACATTGTGCAGCACAGCACCGGCACTGCTTGGTTCCTGCGGGTGCTTCTTTGTAACGCTGGGCCAGACGCAGCGCAGAGATCCAGCATCACCGGCTCTTAAGTCACTCATCATTGTTGGCCAGTAGGTCAGCTGAATATCCCCTGCTTCTGGAGTCTCCCATCCACCACATCCTCTAACAGTGCCAAATAAGCCAGTGTGCATCTTTACATGCTATGATTGCTGGTTTTTATACCCACCCATCAGCTGATTGCATGTGGAAAGGAATTCCCTGATTGTAACTGAGGGGCAACTTCAAACACATGAGATAAATATTAATACACGTTATTTGTTTACACTTTTTGTAACAGTGACACAGTGCTTTACAATGACATTTACACATTTAACACACAGCGAAAAGCCATAAAACAAACACATTATAAAACACAGTATATTGGCTCATATAGGATAACAGTGGCACTCTGCACTCCTGTGGAACTGTTGAACTGAACTGTTCACATCATTATTTCACAGACCAAAGTTCCTCAGATTATCTAATAATTATAGAATATACCCGAGGAGTTCTTTTTAAACAAAGATATCAGTTTGTATTTAGTCTCCTAACTCGTGTTTTCTGTATGTGTACATACCAGGGCCTGTCAGTCAAAGACATGTTTTTTCACTTATTCATTTTTATCAGTTTTGCAAGTGCGCTCTTCATATATAAAACGTAAGGGGTCATATCTGTCTTTATTTTACACAATGATGTCAAATTCACATTTCTTCCTTTTCATCTTTCTACTGTACCACGAGGGTCGATGTTTCTCATGTCAGTTTTTGTGCATACACGTGGGTCAGAGCTTCCGTGGAAGATTACACATTTTCCCGTCAAGTTTGATTTTTATAAATCCCAAAGTTTGAGTGGAAAGTGCCGTACAGCGCTTTCTGTATGTACGCCACGTTTATAAATGAGGCCCCAGATGCTGTCAAGAACAGTAAGATTTCAGCTTATAGCTCTGTGGAAATCAGTATGACAATTAAGATGACTTTTCCTCCCTGTTGCTGTGGGCACCCATTATACTTTATAATGGTATAGCCTGTGTGCAAAACAAAAGTTATGTTCTATGGAAAGACAATTTCAACTGGCTCTGTAGGATTCCTCTGAGCAGTCACAGCAAAAACGTGTATTAGTTTGACTGACCACAGTTTTTAAGAGCAATGTGTAATACTCAATAAAGAAGACATCTTGCATATGATATACACACATTCATTATGTTGCCAAAATACAGACTGGAGGAGTTGAGGAAAGAACAACCAATCTTCTAATTGGTGGATGACCTGCTCTACCTCCTGAGCCACAGATAAGAGCATCTGAAGTGCAGTCTTTGTAGATCCAAATCAGACTTGCTCATCTGTGTGTTGTTGCACCACTTTTGGGCGGCGGATCCTTTCTCTATTGTATTCTACACACCACTGGTGGCCTCTGTGATGCTGCATTAGTTTTGAAAGGGATATCTGAGAAACAGCTCAGAGTAGTTCTGCTTTATTGAGGCTTTGGCACCAACACCACCAACCAGGTTATCAATTACATGTCAAAGCACTAAATGACATTACAGAGAGTGAATAATACACTGGGTGAAAATAGGTAAGAATATGAGTGATGTTCAAAAAAAAAAACTTTTCTGCATGTTTCTGTGTGGATTTTTTGTATATTAACACTGGACTGTTTTCAGTCAGGGGACAGGTCTGCTCTGCTTCAGAGAACTGATATGATGCTGATTTACATAAGAATTTGTGTAACATGGAGTTTGAACCATGAATATAAATTACAGATTGCCTGGAAAACATTTTAATATGTTACTCCACAAAGCAATTGGAGACTGCAATCAAACTGTGATATGGGTCTGATAACATTGTAATAAATCGGCCTCAGATCGAACAGGATGTGACTGTCTCTGTGGTTTTTTGTACAGACTGAAGGCTGCTGGAAACTGTCAGACATGACCATGGCTTATTGTCACTGCCCCCTGCTGCAGCCGCCTGATTTTGTCCACCTTTCAGGGGAGGCGCAGTTCATCTCAAACAAGCCTATTGTCTCCTCATAATGTTGGAGCACCAGCTACACTGTCATGTCTTTACCCCAAAAAGAGAAATCAGGGTTCCAAAAAAAAAAAGAAAGACAGAAAGAAAATAAGGCAAAAGAAAGCAATATGACTTTGTAAAAAATAAAAAAAAATCAGTGTGAGAGACACTGATGAAGAGAGGAGGAGAATGCAGGGACTACTCATGCATAGGGCCTGGAATTTGGTGCTAAGTACCTGAGTTGCCTTGAGCAGGGTTGTGACATTATACTCCTCTGAAGGTCCAGACAGGGCCGGCCAGTGGCATAGGTAGTATAGGCGAATGCTAAGAATGCCTTCATCTATACTAATACTATTAGGCTATTATAATAATATTATTATAATTATTATTATTGTTAATTTTGAATATATTTTTATTGAAGTTTTGCCATAGTTACAGGGCAACACATTGAACAACTGCCACACCCTCCCCCCTCCCACAACCTGTAACAATAGAAAAGAAGATGTAAAAGTGATAACAGAAATAGAAATGCAATAAACGAATAAATATATGTATAAAAACAAACTAACAATACAAAAGCTATACAAAAAAATAAATTAATCAAAATGTGTGACCTTTGTGTGGGATGTCCTCTCTTGAATAAACCTCTGAGAGCTGGTCTGGGTTGTCACAGTTCAGGTTTAGTTTATCTGCAGTCAAAACAGAACAATAGAGCAAAATCATCATCGCTTGTGGACACAGTACGTGCTCTCTCTCAATGCAGATCATCAGTTTCTCTTTTATGGAATTTCTGCTTATTCAGATTTTAAAATTTTTCACGTTTACATTTATTAAAAAAATATATACAATAAACAAAAATAAAATGTTAACACACAAATATACAATAGATTTCATAAACTGGACTGCCACCCTTTTTTTAGTTTGTTTTACATGTTTTAACAATTAAATAACCTCAACTGGCATTTTTCCAACATTGCCACACCATAAAATATATAACAACAACACTATAAAACATTTTGGTACACACACATACCTGCAGTCAAAACAATGGACGATAGAGCAAAATCATTATTGCTTGTGGACACAGCAGGTGCTCTCTCTGAAAAGATACTTTTAGCTAGCGATGCCCGAGGAATAATTTTTACCAACAATAAAACACATGGAAACCTACAGCTGACTTAATAAAAATATGGCAAAATCAACATTAGACCAGTAATATCAAACAAAATACAGTCAGCTTAAGTTTTAGGTGCTTTTAGAAGTTAGTTAATATTACTTTGTCCACAGACATTCATGCAGATCATCCATTTCTTTGAAGTGCTACCCATAATCCTTTGCTACTACTGCTGACTGCAGGTAACAGCAGATGATGCTGTTGTCCCAGTTAGCGGAATTAAACCATAAATTTTAACATGAACATTTTTTAACTATGTTACACATGCGCTAAAATCATCGTTCAATGGTAAAGGTAGCAGAAAAGTGCACCCTTATCGTACCATTAGCATTGCTCATATTTATTATTATTTTGCAGTGTCATATTTTATTGTTTATTCTTCTGAACAAGTTAATTTGTCATTTTTTAAATTGATAAACAATTTATATGATTGTTGTGTCACATGTACAACTTGTTACTGAACGCAAATTAGCACATATCTTTATCTTAGTTTTTATTGTTAGATGGGTTGTTTATTTGTATTTTGACTGTTGAGCTGCAGCAAACATGGGGTGGGGTGGGGGGCTTGCCTAGGACACCAAATGTGCTAGGGCCGTCCCTGGATTCACATGTATTGTCCTTAATGTTTGAATACTTTTTTTTTTTTTTTTTTTTTAAATTCTGTCAAATCATATACTTTTCTCATGGATTTCTTTATAAAGCACTCAGCTACATCATACATCTGTTAGTTAGATATTATTTTAAATTTAGCAATAAAATTTTCTTCCTTGTATGTTGGTAAAAAATGTATATGGTTTCATAATGTCATATTTGTTGGTTGGGACAGGCAGATACATCAACCATCAGTACAGTAACATGCTGGTAAATAGAGCCAGCAGTAACTGCAGTGAACAGGCGTTAAGGTGGGAAATGCAACATCGCGTCCACATCTTTGAAACTAGGCTACCTAACGTTCAGCAGATTGGAGGAGCCTGACAGAAAGCCCTTTCTGGTAGAAATCCATTCATTTTAACCCAAAGCGTGATCTTCTTCCTAAAGTAACTGAGAAGAGGCTTTCTGACAGAAAGTCCCGAAGACAAACTCCTCCCAACAGCCATCATCCCTGTGTAGTCTTCATTTGATTAGTTCTCCCACAATGCAATGCGCATCTGTCATGGCTGCTCACTGATGCCGCTTGCACCACATGGGTGGAAATAAACATTTTATCTCTGACTGAGGAACACCGACTAGGCTCATTCATAAAGCGATTAATCACCGTTTTTGATCTCCGTCAGTCCGGACTGAAGACAGACGCTTCCCCGTCACTGTAACAGGGAGCAGAGGCGTTACAATGCCGCTGGACGTAGAGATCCACGTCCTCCGAGGCTTTTTAACACCCAGCGAAGCAGCGGAATGGAAGCAGAGTATTTTCAGTACTTCAGGTGAGACCTCGGGCTGTGTTTTATTATTCCACCACGTAGCTGTTAACACTTCGGCGAGCAGATTCCGTTATGCGATGAGCGCTTTAAAAATGGCTACAATGGCAGACTGTGGTCGCTTAAAGAAAGTGACATTTCATGTTAAACGCAGCAGCGTGAGGCTTTTACCCGGTGATGGTTTAGCCTTTGCTAGTAATAACAGCGTTTTAACGTAATGCCCGCAGCTCCGCTCCAGCTAAAAGAAATTCACATGAGTTGAATCACTGCTAAGCGAGCTGTTAGCAACGATACGAGCCACTCTCGCGTGTCCGAACGTCATGCCAGACCCCATTAAATTTTCGGCAATATTAATTGGCCTCACGCGTGGGCAACCAGATCCGTATCACTAAGTAAGACAACTTGTGATTTTAACATTAGCAAGCGCCAGCTGTAGTTCGTCTAATTTTCTCAATCTCAAAATAACACTAAGGTGGGGGTTAGAGTGAAATTCAGATGGAGCTTTAGCTAACGGAGGTTAAGCCTGAGAACTAGCCGCATGTCAAATCCGTTGTTATATCGCTTTGCATAGCTTTGTGCTGACAACCGGAGTAGCTGGATTTATATTGACAGACTTTACTACCAGAGTCTGACGTGACATCTTTATTCCCAACACTTGCACAGTGTCGAGCGGCGTCCCGCTCACATCTGTCAGCAGCTGCACTGAGCCGGAGCTCACCGGCACGGCTGGCAGGAGGTCCCCACAGCGGGAGTCCACACTGCGTTATACAATGAGCTGTCAAACCACGCTCTCTGTCTCAGGTGTCTCCTGTTTGCATAGCGTGTGTCTTCTGTCAGTCAACTGACGCCGGGCTGTCAGCTTTGATTACCCGTAGTCTCACTGTGTACCTTCTCCCAAACCGAACCGTTAGCAACTCAGTGGTTTAAACTTTGGCGCAATTTTATAGGCTATTCTAATTCTATAGGCTTGGGTGGTATCTATTTTTTTCACACCATTTCAACGGGATGTATGATATATGATGGTATTTGTGATTTAGAATCATGTAAGGGTGAGCTAATGGTGATGGAAGTCAATGCAACATGCGTGATATTATCTGGCCTACAGTTGTGTGTTTCTGATATGCAGTTAACCTGCTTAGACAGGTCTTACTGGGTTTAAATACTCATGGTCCACAAAATAATGAAAAAAAAAGAACTAAGTGCCCTTCTTGCTTGGGGCAGGTTATATTTTGTTGTCAGTTGGTTTAAGAGGGAGGTACAGCTGAGTGTCATCTGCATAACAGTGAAAATAAACACCATGTCAACGGACGACATCACCAAGGGGGAGCTTGTATAATGAAAACAGGATAGGACCAAGGATTGACCCTTGAGGCACACTGTACTTGACATGGGAAATGGATGACATGACATTCTTAATGGACACACAAAACTTGCTGTCTGACAAGTATGAAGCGAACCAGTTTAGGGCAGTACCAGATACACCCACCCAGTGCCTCAGTCTATCTAAAAGAATGCCATGATCAATTGTGTCAAAGGCTACACTCAAATCCAGCAGCACAAGAATTGAGCACATGCCCGCTATATATGGAGAAGGCAAACCAGAGATACTGGATGAAGGGAGATACCCAACTGTAGGCTTATCCAATGTTAAGAAAACGGTTACTCTTCCTGTCTCCTAAGTGGGCGTGGTTAGCTGTCCCTCCAATCAGAGCCTGTTCTCCCTCAACCCCCCTCCCCACCACCGTGTTGAACAGAGGCTCTGTGGATGTCTGTGTATGCAGATCGAGAAGCAGGTGGAATGAAAATACATTCTTCCTATTATTGCAGCCTATTGCTGCACAAAGCTTGGGCATTTTTTATTTATTACTAGCGGTAAATAACTGTAAACTAACTGATTTTACCGCCTGTTTATCAAGATCACGAGATCTCGCGAGAACTTGTTTTCTGAGACGGACAGGGCTCAAACAAAGTTAACTTTCTCTTGATCTGTGCGGATGAAAAATGCAGCTTTAGTGTCAGAATGTTGGTAAGATGTGTGGCTTGTGGAAAATGAACCCAATATTTACTTTAGAATTGAATTGAAAGAATTGACCATAAATTGTGATCACGTTCATTTTCCTCATTGACGACAATACATTCAGAGCTGCCGCAAGTCTCCTACGGGGGCGTGGCGCTGACGTCACTGAATCAGGAAGTGAGCTGAGTTGGGTATCTCGCTTCATCCAGTATCTCTGGGCAAACCCATCTCTGTCACTCTTTTTTCTTCTTTTGTGAAATAGTATCAATCTATAATAAAACTGTAGGTTTGTTTTACATAAACTATTTAAACTATAAATAAACTCAACTCAACTCAACTCAACTTTATTTATAAAGCGCTTTAAAACAACCACAGCTGAAACAAAGTGCTGTACATAGGAGGTCATAAAACAACAAAACAGTGAGATAATAAAAAGCAGTTAAAACAAAAAACAATAAAAACAACAAACAAATAAAACAGAGCGAGGTCTCATGCTGGGTTAAAAGCCAGTGAGTAAAAGTGGGTTTTAAGGTGGGTTTTAAAAACAGACAGTGAGGAGGCCTGTCTGATGTGCAGAGGTAGATTATTCCACATTTTTGGAGCAGCAACGGAGAATGCACGGTCTCCTCTAAGCGTTCGCTTAGACCTCGGTACCTCAAGGAGCAGCTGATCAGCTGACCTGAGGCACCGGGCAGGGGCGTAGGGGTGAAGAAGCTCAGAGAGGTAGGGCGGGGTGAGGCCATTTAAAGATTTAAAAACAAATAAAAGGATCTTAAAATGAACTCTAAAGTGCACAGGCAGCCAGTGGAGGGAGGCCAGGATGGGTGTAATGTGCTCTCTCATTCGTACTCCAGTTAGCAGACGAGCGGCAGCATTCTGGACTAACTGGAGACGTGCAAGGGAGGACTGGCTAACTCCAAAATAAAGTGCATTACAGTAATCCAGCCGAGATGTAATGAAGGCATGGATTACTGCTTCAAAGTGCTGATGTGCAAGAAAAGGCTTCACCTTCGCAAGCTGCCTGAGGTGAAAGAAACTCGACTTTACAACTGCACTAATTTGACGGTCCAATTTAAAATCACTGTCCATCTTAAAACCCAAGTTAGTAACAGTAGACTTTGCATAAACTGCCAAAGGACCCAGATCAACAGGGGAGGAAACACCGCTGGGGCCAAACACCATCACCTCTGTTTTTTTCTCATTAAAATTTAAAAAGTTTAGGGCCATCCAGGCTTTGATATCTTCAAGACATGACAGCAGGGGTTTGAGGGAAAAGGCATGGCTTTTACTCAGGGGGACATATATCTGGCTATCATCAGCATAGCAATGAAAAGCAACACCATGCTTTCTGAGGATAGACCCTAGGGGAAGCATATACAGGGAGAAAAGCAGGGGTCCTAAAATTGAACCCTGTGGGACCCCATATAAAAGCGGAACGGAGGAGGATTCACACGCACCAAGACCAACACATATAGTCCTGTCGGCTAAGTAGGACCTGAACCAGTCCAGGGCGCTACCACCAATGCCCACTAGCTGCTGCAGACGTTTTAACAAAATGTTGTGGTCTACAGTGTCAAAGGCAGCAGTCAAGTAGAGCAGGACAAGAAAAACATAGTTGCCACTATCATTTGCCGTTAAAATGTCATTAAAAACTTTTAAAAGGGCAGTTTCCAGTAAAAGGAATACTACATTTTTTTTATTTGGTATTTTTGTGATAATAGCTGTTTTGATACGGAATCTGTTACTGGGGCCCAACTTAACTACTGTACGCCACTGGCACTACTGTGTCTAACTTAATAGTCACACATGCACACACGCTCTTTTCTTCAACCATACATTCGCTAGGCAGTACACACACAATCTGGCACCGAAATGACGCACTGAAATTTGCATTGTAATTGGGTTCAGTAGGTACCGGTTGTATAAGAACCGGTGCCATATTGGCACTATGTCATATTGTCATTTTCAGTGCCCAACCCTGTTTCTTGCTGGAGGACCTGATTGCCTCGACATATACTGACACATTAGTGGGCTGGTTGGTGATGATATGCAGAAGATGGTGGTGGACTGGCAGTTGAATAAAATCATGTGGCTAATAAACTGTTTTTCTTTACTGGAAGAAGTTTTCTCGTGATAAAGTTATTTGTGACAATACTCGTGGCATAGAAAGAGGGGTGTCAATACATTTCATAGTATTGAAAATCATACTGTTGGGATCTCTAAACACCTTAATACCGTAATACTGCCCAAGCCTAGCTGAACAGTCCAGTTTGACCGCAGACCCGTTCAAAGACAGCATCTCATAAAACTCTAATTTATTGTTCTTGAATTAGAAATGGGCCAGTCACTATCTAACAATAATTTGATGAAAGATCTGTCAGGTGTCCTTCTGTAAAACTTAATTTTAATTTTAAGTTTTTACAGAGTTTCAAGTGATATTTTGAAATAGAAATAGACCGTAGTTCTTCGTCCCTCCAACTATGTTACTGCTGCATCGAATGACTGTGCCTGATGTCAAACTTCTCTTAACAGGGACACACAATCAGGGACACAGCCTCTGATTGGTCTTCAGGTCAGGAACACAGCCAGTTATTGGTTGACAGACTTAAAGGCATCGTGAACCACGGCTAGTGGATGCCTGAAATAAGAATGAATAAATAACCACAGAAGATATTTAGCATCAGATTTACAATTTTGGATATGACAAATTTAGATCATGGTTGCATTACAAAGCTTCTGATAGGGATATGCTTGTATGTTGGAACAGCTGGACAGCTAACATTAGCTGTTGGGCAAAAAAGTAAGGCTCTTCCATTCAGCATTCCAGAGGTATGAAACGCTAGTAATGTAATGTTGTGTAGGACATTTTTGACTTCAAGAGTTAACTTCTATGTCATATCTTTCTTATCAGTCTTGGTCGATGCCTGGTGGTGAGACAGCCTTGTACTTGCAGCTCAGCTGGAAGGACTTCAGTGATATAGTGTGCAGT